AGATCATTAAAATTTTTCTTTGTTATTTTTTTATTACTTGCATATGTAAGTTCCTCAGTTTAAGTATTAGTTTTTACATAATATCTAACTCTTTCAAACACATTTTCTATTTCTAGAAATTATAGGAGTAGCCAGCTAATTGCCCAATCTAGATCTCATATGGTTGCAGGTGTCAATATGTGGTTGTAATTGCATGGCATTCCTCACTCACCGCATCGGCTCCAGTTATTTCTACTCCATTAACGTTCGTGACTCGTCTGTCAGTAGAAGCAAAAAGGGTTGACTTTTAAATGTAAGCTTCTACGGTTCAAATACAGCAATGCAAATATTAAATTTGAAAAAAGTTGGCGACTTGCGGGCTTCGGTGTTTGTCTGATCGCATTTTGATTCGACGAATTATCGATATTTATTATTAGATCAGTAATCAATATATATTTTTTCAATTTATCTTAATAATTTCATTTATTTGTTAGGTACTTGAATATGTTTTTTTATTTACTAGATTTGTTTCGAAGAACTGCTTATAGCATTCTGTCAACGCGGAATGTTGGAAAGCAGAGTAATTAGAAGTCGTAATATTTAAACCAGAGCTCGATGTATCGTAAACTTCGCCCTGTCGGGTCCAATTTGAAGAAAATAGTAATAATATATAATTTCCGAAAAAATCCGGCTAACAAAATCACTTGTTTGCGCGGAAAAGTTAATGACTGTTAGGCCGCGCCCGAGTTCTATACAAGTACCACTTGGCAAAACAGAGCTGGGTTAGCCCTATTTTTGAATCGTTCGACTCCCGTCAAGTGTTCTACTATTCGTTTGACATAATATAACAAATTCGCTATTTCTGATTCGCTCGACTGCTACGAGTGTAGTCGATAGGCGAACGCTCCAAACGAGTAATAGAGTAAACGTCAAAAACTCAAACGTTACTTAGCAATTTACTATTCTTTATAATAAAAAAACAAGAATTAATTGGTAAAAATCCTATCAGTACTTAGTTTTTGATGTGTAACATCTTTAATCTCGCTTTCCTGCAATTTGTGAGAGTGATTTCGTGAAATGGGACGGAACTGTGTAACAGGAAGTCGCGAAAGCGCGCGCTATTTGATTTGATTTTAAAACATAATGTTCAAATGGCTTATTCCTTTTTTAGTAGGTTTTATTTCTTTTTTTACTAATATAAGGTGAGGTTTCAAATGTTACACATCATACGCGACTACTGTAAGGCTAGCTCGTTTTTCTCTATGATAGTCATTATTTTGCATTATATTAGTCGAACGATTCGAAATGCAGAAAAACAGCGTCGTGCGACGTAATAGCAGCAGCAGTCTATTAATGTACCCATTACCAAGGCACGGGCCTTACCAATGGATGGCACAGGGTGAATGGACCATGACCCACTACACGGGCCCAGTGGGGATCGGTATTAATAAATCGGCTTAGTGTGCCTTCCGAAGGACGGAGGATATCGAGGTGATAAGTTTTTGGTCATCCATCCAATGGATGGTCCATTGCCAAAGTTGCTTGACTTCCAATATTGCAGACCGAACGCGCTAACTAACTATGCCATCGATGATCCTCAAGTTAAGTCGCATAAAATAAAATAAATAAATATTTCCAACACTCACACCAATTAGCCTAGCCCCAAAGTAAGCACTGTGGGCTTGTGTTATGGGTTACTAGGGTAACTGATACATATAAAATTAAATTTATATAGAAATACATATTAAACATCCCTGACTGGAGTACAAATGCACCTATTCATCACACAAACATCTGCCCCCACCGGGATTGAAACCCGGGCCTCTCGAATAGGCGACACCTTGAAACCCGGCGTATAAACCACTCGGCCACGGAGGTCGTCAATATGTTTACTCGTTTAATATCATATGGAGATATAATATTAAACGAGCGATTCAAAATAGGTCTCCTTGACCGGCAGTATAATTTATAACGTTTCGCTCGGCAGCGGAAATGCTGCGATGATTGTGGCCCATCGACGGAGCAATTTTCTCGAGCCCTAAGGCTCGGCTCGCCGGCTAACTGTTTCTGAATAATGGGACTACCTACTTGCCGATACGCTCCCAGTAAGGGTTGCCAGATGGTGGGGAATTGTCTGGATTCGTCCGACTTAACATGTGATCTCAATCATGATGGTACATCTATCGTTTACCCTGTTCCTCAAGTCACTGTGCACTGAATGAGCCTACCTAGTCCATTTTTAGGTTTATAAAAAGCGTTGTGCTGTAGTGTAATTCTCCAGACAACAAATCCAAAATCACGATATTTTAAAATATTATCTAGATATTATGGCGCAGGTGGCTAGCGCGTTCGGCTGCGATCGTTAAAGTTAAGCAACTTTCGCAATGGTCGGTCATTGGATGGGTGACCAAAAATCTTCTATCTTGAGTTCCTCCGTGCTTCGGAAGGTACGTTAAGCCGTTGGTCCCGGCTACATCTGCAGTCGTTAGCACTCGCCAATCCGCACTGGGCCCGCGTGGTGGGTCATGGCCCAATCCCCCTGTTCCATGCATAGGGAAGGCCTGTGCCCCAGCAGTGGAGACATTAATAGGCTGATGATGATGAAGATCTCTCGATCTGGCAACCCTACTCCGAGTTTACGATTGAGATATCGCAGCCGCCATGATTCAATCTCCCAATGCGGGTCGGTGAACGATGGAAAGCTCCTAGTTGTAAGGTCCGTTCGTTGGTGTGCCCCTTAAGGGCGCCGACGTCTGAAAATTGAGGTTTTGCCTGCGTAATAAAAAAAAATAGGTTTTGTATAATCAAATATATGCGTTCTAGTCTAGCATGCCTTCTGTAATTTTTCTTTCCACTTTGTATGTAAATATGATGTGTCTTTCATAACATACCATCAATACAATGGTTTTAATAAAACGTTTTTTTTTAATTTACGCCAGACATGAAGACCAGAGATGATGCAAATAAAACATACAAATTAATTGTGATTGTGACACGCAATTAAATAGTGTGTAATAAAAATAACATTATTTGCCTATTCATTACCTCATAGATGATCGAATCAATTATAATTAACTAAACTTAGATAAATGAATCAATCAATTATGTAAGAAACTAGAAATATCAATTATAGTACTTATCTATTAGACAAGTCCGTCCGTCCGTCTGTCTGTGGTGCTGTTTTAGCGGCCAAACCGTAAGAGATAGATAAAGAGAATATTTAAGTTATAAGTTAAGAATAGTCTGATAAGACTACAAACCGGATTTGAGTAACGTAGCACTTCCGGTTTTCGAAAAATCATGAATTTCAAACGAAACCACACAAAATCTCCGAAGTTCTCAATTAATTAAATACATTTTTTTTGTTTTTTTTAAATCAGGTTTTGGTGAACATTTGGTTCACTGGTTTGCTGGTAGTACTTATTACATATTGAGGTCTGTCTGAATCTTTTTATGTTTTCTACAAAGAAAAATTCTACATTTATAAAAGCTCTTACTTCAGTTAGAGTTTGAAGGAATAATTTTACCGAGGACGAAAAGTGAAGTCTGCAATAATTTGCCTATTTTTAGGGGCGTGGCAAAACATGTTTTTTGATGATATAAATAAGTTTTTCAAAAAGACCTCTAGAACTTTTGGACCTCGCCTTGTAGTATTACATAAATTTATGTTCAGGATTTTTTATGCAAAGATATTAGGTAGTTTGGTTTTCATTATGTCTCTTAATTTCATCTATGAAAGTGATCTAAACAATATTACCAATAGATTAACATAATAACATACAAGATGATGATGATGGTCTCGGGGCACAGTGATAATAATAATATTCTGCGGTTCCTTATTGTGATATTTTTAACAGTATTATATTTCCCTACTAAAATACGAAAGTTAATCTGTCTGTCACATCAAAACCACGGAACCCTGAGGAAGGACATATGCTACTTTTTTACGAAAAACGACGATAACGCGGACGAAGTCGCGGGCAAAAGCTAGTTTCATCTAAAATCGCCAGATTTCAACATACTTATTTTGTTTCTGTTATTGTTTTAAAGATATAAAAAATATGTATCTTCTATTTTAATAGTCTGTTGAAATGAAGTCTCTTATGGAGATGTAATTTTATCAATTCAGAACTCCGCCAATAATTTTTAATAACAAATTTATTTTATGTAATTTATTGATTTTAACATTTCTCCCATGGACACTGGTATACTGCCCAAAAATTACAGTGACAGCTTCCAAATGCCCAAGCACGAATTTTGACAGATAATTAATTTGTATCGTCATCGTGAAATTTTGTATGGCAGGATCCAGTTTATCCTTACGTCCGGTAGGGCCGCTGCCAAGTTTTCATAGAAACTTTGGCGATACAATCAGGGAGTTGTCAAAATTCGTGCTTGGGCCTCTGAATATGGCTCACAGTCACAGTGTCCCTAGCTTAAAGTTAAGCACCCCTAGTTGAGCATGTTTCAAGCACTTTAATCTATTATTTCCTGAATGATCAATGCGGCAGTGTAAGTTTAATTTTAGTAAGTGTTTTAGCTATTGAACCACCGCATTATTCCTAACGATTTCAACGCACCCATTAACGGATAAAATAATTGATCACTCACGGTTCGGTAGGATTAGTAGTTAGAGCTATAAAGAATGGATTACTCGAACGTTTTATGTACGTCATATTTTTTATGACACCAACTTTTATGCAGTATTTCATTAGATTTCTAGTTCAAAAAATTACAAAGATTATTCACTTTTTATATGTTTTCGAAAGAAATACTTTTTGAATAAAAACAATCAATTCAGTTCATAAGAAGATTAAATACAATACACCATAGATACGTTATTTTCCTAGAATATTAGACACTTGTTTGTTTTTCTAAATACTAGAAGTTTTACGATCACATAAAACGCGAAGGATCATATAAATTGATACCACCATAATAATAATAATAATTGAACCATTTTATTATAACTACAAGGTTGATTCATAATTAAGAAATAATCATTATCTTTTCTCTTCCAGGCCGTCGAACTTGCCAGCGAAATGCACCGAGGAAGCGTTGCGGCACAAAGCCGAGCACGCGCGCATGGTGGAGGCGGCGCGAAGGCGGGTGGAGAGAGAAGTCGCTGCCAGGCACGCGCGGCTGCAGGAGTCCATCCGCCAGGAGGAGCGGCTCGCGAGACACGCGCGGGAGTGGACGACCAACATCCTGCCCGACTGGCAGCACACGTGAGGCACACTATTGTTACTTGGCGCCGGTTGCAGCCCGGCACGCGCGGCTGCAGGACTCCATCCGCTAGGAGGAGCGGCTCGCGAGACACGCGCGGGAGTGGACGACCAACATCCTGCCCGACTGGCAGCACACGTGAGGCACACTATTGTTACTTGGCGCCGGTTGCAGCCCGGCACGCGCGGCTGCAGGACTCCATCCGCTAGGAGGAGCGGCTCGCGAGACACGCGCGGGAGTGGACGACCAACATCCTGCCCGACTGGCAGCACACGTGAGGCACACTATTGTTACTTGGCGCCGGTTGCAGCCCGGCACGCGCGGCTGCAGGACTCCATCCGCTAGGAGGAGCGGCTCGGATAGTTCACAATATTCTGAAGAAAGCTCGATGGCGCAAGTGGTTAGCGCGTTCGGCTACGACCATTGAAGTTAAGCAACAGTGGTCGGTCAATTGGCTACCTAGCCAATTGACCGACCACTTGTGTATATGTAATTTTTTGGTCACCTGACCAAAAAATTACATCTCAAGCTCCTCCGTGCTTTGGAAGGCAAATTAAGCCATTGGTCCCGGCTGCATCTGCAGTCGTTAGCACCCACCAATCCACACTGGGACCGCGAAATTGGTCATGGCTCATAACTCAATCTCCCTTATCCATCCTTTGGTAAGGCCTGTGCCACAGCAATGGTGACATTGATATGCTGATGAAGATGTCGCTTAAGTAATTAATGGAATTGATAGGGTCAAAGCACAACATTTGCGTTTAAGTAGTGGGTAAGACTACCAATCGCAAATCGTCGTGGGAGCTGAAGTAAAAAGTACTGCGAACTTATTGGACGGATTTATTTTGTTAGACAAATTTATAAAGGAGTTAATTAAACACCGTTGCTTGTCAGGCAATTTCCCCACGGCCAAAAAAGTTACTTTCGAGCTCAATACTTCTGGTGTCGAGTGTCATTTACAAGTATCCAAAAGGTTCAGTGGAATCTAGTGGATTAATGATTTATCCTTGGTATACTAACGAAGATAGTAAGCATACGAGAAGACTTTAGGCTCTATTCTATAGCTAAAACAAAATTCCTTATCACAAGATTTTATCATTGTAGCCGCTAGGTCGGTTGGAAAAGCAACTATGAAATCAAATGTTTTCTGACTGTTGACTATTGTTTTCGATATATGAGTGATTTGAGACACAATGACTATGTCACTAAACACCAAAGAAAGCAGGTCACACATAGTATTGTCTGATACACAATGCTGTTAAACCATTGTTTTGATAACTCTTTTTGTGCTTGTTTTGGGTGTACCTTTTGGTGTAAGTATTTGTGTTTATAGGTTAAGTCCAATGGGGGTTTGACATGTCATGTTTTGGCCATTTTCTATTAGAAGACCATCAGATATTGTATAAATAAACGATATCTGAATTTGGTAAATACCAAATTCTCCTTAACCGCGCAATGGATTTTATACGGTATTTTCGGAATGAACCTCTGAAAATAAAACCTGTAGTACTACATCACAGCAAAGCGATGGCTGGTCACTATAAATATAAAGCCGCGTTTCCAGTGCGTGTTTTGCCCTACACAATTAACAAAAATATATATCAACATTCAACAAAATCGTCTACACAAAACTTTGTTTCACTACACATATTTGTTTGCATTCACAATGTTTTTGCTTTCCGAGCCAAAAAAAATTACATGTACACATCCCCCCCACCCCCCACCCCGCGCGGGTCGAAGGGCAGGGGGTATTGTTTCATCGGCCATTTTTTTTTGACAACTCAGTTCCGTTCAACTTTTTCTTCTTTTTTTTCACAACTTTTCACTCTGACGTTTCAATTTTGACGAAATTTTTGTCAAATTTAACATTTCTTGCAACTGGATCGTAGGTTTTGAGTGTAAATTTTTTGTGTACGACAGCCACGTAAGCAGTAGACGGCGTGTGTAAAGACGCAAGTTTCAGAAACAATGTTTTGTGTGTTTTTGTTCAATGTTTTCCATAAGCTTTTGCTTAAGACCCGGCTTAATGTAATCACTAGAAAACAAACTACTATAATGGTTTTATAGATTTATAGAGGTGGATGCTCTAAAATATGACAAAGATAATCACTGTAGAAAATAGTCTATTTTTTTTAAACACACCAATTAGCCTAGCCCCAAAGTTAACACTGTAAGGCTTGTGTTATCAGTGTATAGGGTAGCGGATAGAATACTTAAACTGTACGTATATAAATATTTTCATTTAGAAATACATATCAAACATCCATGACTGGAGTATAAATGCTCGTATTCATTACACAAACATCTGCCCCCACCGGGATTCGAACCCGGGACCTCTCGAGTCGGCGACACAAAAACCCGGCATACAAACCATCTAGAAACGGAGGTCGTCAATTATAATGCTTTAAAACTAGATGCTCTAAAATATGACATAGGTTGAATGATGATTGTAGAAATTAGATTGAATGATTTTAAGCTAGATACACAATGGCAGTGTCGTAAAGAGATGAGATTTAGATTGGTAATTGTAAACTCGACACGCATCGAATGCATTTGTAAACAATGCCCACTTTCACATGGTTTTGATAAGGAGATCCAATTTATACGCGTCGTTTAAATAACATCGCGTAAGGTTTTCCGAGGCCATCGGACCGTGTCTTGTCTTGCATATTATAAAGCAATGAACTGGATGGTAGCGGAAGCGGCGTGGAGCGATTATTCGATTAATCTTCTGGGGGCATGGTCTCCCTGAACCGAGTTAGAGCGTAGTTTATTTTATGTGTGCTTGTAAAAGCTAACTAATATTTTTTTTCGTATAAAACAATGGATCCACTGAATATTATTTATGCATTTAATATGCCGCGGGTCTAGTAGTATATTTTCAACAATTTTATCTTTAACAATAAATGGGAGTTGCATCATTCATTATGGACTGAACAATGAACATTAGCTGGTGCTGTAAAAGTACGACTCCAACAAATTAAAAAAAAAACGTGAGCTATATAGCACATTGCTCTTTCGCTCATGTTTCCAAGCAAATATTATTTTGTACTTTAGAAATCTTATTTATTACGATTCTGAATGTGTTCTCGGTAACTTGCCTTGTCAATAACTAGAATAAAATACTTTAATTTTAGTAGCAGGTAAAAAAATATTGAGGTGTCCAAACATCCACCTTGCTTTGTCCTTAAATTCATCCCCATGTATGCCTACAGTAGTCTTTTGCCAAACGCGCCAATCCAATTTCCGCGCTTGCTATGACCTAATCCGCAGCCTGAAATATAGAAGATGCGTCGCAATCTTGTATGCAATCTATTCAACTGTCTCACATGGGATAAATATGTATGAGAACATGGATTGCTCATGCGTTATGAGACCAAGGCATTGTCTTATTGAAATTGGAACTTTAAACTGGAGATTAAAGCTTGAATCTTATTAAGTATTTTTTTGATTTTTGGATCTGATCTGGTGAATGCGATTATGGAGCTTAACCAATGACAATATTATACTAATATTCTAATAAATAACTGATAGTCATAATCATAATCAAAATCATTTATTCAGCTTAGGCTGTAACAAGCACTCATGAATGTCTAAAAGCTACGCCATCGGTTCGTAAATCTACGACGGGAGACATTGTACTGAGGAGAACCGGCAAGAAACTCAGCAAGTGCTGTTTTTTCCCTGTTTTATTATTTACAGAGTCGTCAAATTGAAAAATTACTTCAGAGATGATTCATGAAGTCAAATTATAGGTTGCGCGAGCGGCGCAGCACCCATCAGTGTGGAAATCCTTCAGGGAGGTTTATGTTCAGCAACGTTGTACCTACGGCTGATATGATGATGATGAGTAAAATTATCTTCAGAAGCGTCTCCGTGCTACGGCAGGATCGTAAAGATCCTTTCTATTAGACCTGTAGTGGAAAGCACTGCCTTTAGTTACCCAAGGAGCAAAAACAAAGATTTAAGAAAAGTTCGAACTAGATCTTATAGGACCGACCGTGCAATTTTATCTAGTAAACATATCTTTATATTTAAAAAATAAGATGTCACCATTTCGGTAGTTTTATTATGATTTTGCCAATTAAAATTTACTTAACAACTACATATTTTCTTCCAGGAAAAATTCCAAGCGGACGCTGGAGTTGTGGTGGAGTGGTCTACCGCCCTCGATACGCGGCAAAGTATGGCAACTGGCCATTGAGAACAAACTGAAAATCTCCCACGACATTTACCAGGAACTAGTCGCGAAAGCCAAGAGGAAGCTCCACGAAGCCCAAATGAGACGAAAGAGGTTAAAAATCAACCAGGACTGCGATTGCGCAAAGTCTCAAGAAGCAGAGAAGAAAATAAAAACTGACGAAGATAAACCCAGGCTTAGTATACCAAGGAATTTAAGCGAGCAAAACTTGAAATCAAAAACGGTGGAACGAGTAAAGAGGTGCTGTTCAAAATCGAACCCTAATCTGTTGGATTATAGTGACGAGTGTTCCATGGAGCTGATCCAGCTGGATATTGCGAGGACATTTCCGCATTTGTGTATATTTCAACCTGGAGGGCCGTATTTTGATGTGTTGCACGAGTTGTTAGCTGCCTACGTTTGCTACAGGCCTGACATTGGCTATGTACAGGTAAGGTTTTTAGAATAAAATCATTAACAAAATATATTAGATGACAGCCGTAAGATATGATAATAGGGTAGCGCAGGTTAGCGACGTGATAAGAATCTTAAGAATTCTCTAAATTATATTATCAGCCATAAATTGTATATCTATCTTTACTTTGAAAATACCTCTTTCCTTTATTTATTTGTTTATTTTAATTTTTTTTTCATATAAATATGCATCTATCTATATTATTATTACCGTTCTTATTTTATTTTATAATATTCTTTTTTGTTTTATTTTATAATATTCTTACACCCTTCCCCCTTTTTTTTTGTTTTTATATACTTATTTAATTTTCCGTCATGGGTTGCCTGGAAGATATTGCTATTAAGCAATAAGGCCGTCCATTGTGTAATGTCTCTCTGTCAGTGTAATCTTACTGTTATGTCCTTTGTGGTTTTATACAATAAGGAATATTATTATTATTGTATTATTTGAGGAGCTCGATGGCGCATATGGTTAGCGCGTTCGGCTGCGATTGTTGAAGTTAAGCAACGTTCGCAGTAGTCGTTTATTGGATGGGTGATCAAAAGTTCGCTATCTCGAGTTCCTCCGTGTTTCGGAAGGCACGTAAAGTCGTTGGTCCCGGATGCATCTGCAGTCTTTAGCTCCCACCAAACCGTACTGGGCTCGCGTGGTGGGTCATAGCTCATAGCCCAATCTACCTATTCCATCCATGGGAAGGCCTGTGCCCCAGCAGTGGGGACATTAATAGGCTGATGATGAAATTGTATTAATCGTTAAGATTAGGAGAGTTTTTAGCTTGTTCATAGAAATAAAAAAAGAACTGTTGGCCGACATTAATATATTGAGAATAAGTTGCATTTGTGTTCTGCGACATTGCTATTGAGCATAGCTTTCTTTATTTTCATTGTCGGACTAGGTATAATTCCAAAGTCGAATAAAGTTTTGTGGTCAGCCTCTGCTGCAATAATAATTGTAACAACAACTTCATAATGTTTGTTTCATCTATACTAATAATACAAAGAGCTATATTATTACAAAACAGGAGAAAACACGCACCTTGCTGTACGGTTCCCAACTTAGGGGGTTTCCCCCCAGATTTAAGGGGTAAATAAGTGAGATGGGATTTTTTTAGGGGCCTGAAAATTTTAGGGTTATTTTCAGGGATTTTTTGACTTTTTAATATTTTTAAATTGATAATATTAATATTTATTTCTTGACCTAGGGACTAGGGACGACATCTAGTACGTAATTCTACAACCACTCTGTGGCAGACTGGCGGCAATACTGGCGCCGCTAGCGGTCATTTTATTGTCTGTACATATGGCGGCTATTGTTCTGTTTATGTCTATATTTATTTAAACTTGAACGTATGTTTGACATTAGCTTATGTCAGATAGGATACCGCCAAAAAAATAGGTTAGGGATATTCTTACGACTATTGTTAACTTATAATAAAAAGGCTTCTGAAATCGTACCGTATCATAGCCAACATGAAGCAGACGGAGAGCTGTAGACCATACTTTCAAGAGTATCAGATACTGCCACTACCGTGTTTGTATATTTTGGAAATGTGTAAGTTTGTAAGCAAGCATAGAGAATTCTACACTAGACGACAAGACATTCCATCGAGATACACATCTCGACACAACAATAAATTAATATTGCCTAATTCTAGACTAAAACTATCATCATCAAGCACATTTAATTCATCTATTAAAATTTATAACAAATTGCCTGTTACAATAATGAATGAAAATAATTACTTGACATTTAAAAATAAATTAAAGGAATTTCTAATGAAAGTACCTACCACCCACTGTACACAATTATGGTTGCAATAAATGGTTTGAGTTACGAATTTATATATATTTATTTTTAAGTCGGACACCTCAATAATTAAGGCGATTATTGACACAAAAATTTAGGGATAAATATCTGCCTTGCTGAGTTTCTTGTCGGTTCTTCTCAGTACAAGGTTCACCGCCGCAGATTTGCGAACTTATGGCGTAGTTTTAGGACATTCACAAGTGCTTGAAACGGTCTAGGCTGAATAAACGATATTGAATTTTTGATGTTATTGAATTTTGTTACCCCCAGGGCATGTCGTTCATCGCGGCGGTGTTGATTCTAAACATGGAGGCGCCGGCCGCCTTCGTGTGCTTCGCTAACATGCTGGACGGACCCGTACTGAGGGCCGCCTTCGCCAGAGACGGGCAGGCCATGCAGGTATATACACAGAGATAAAAACGTAATAAATTAAAATAAAAAAGATATAATCTTTTATTTAATTTTTTTAAGCATGTAACTGTCGCTCAGGAGGAGCTCGATGGCGCAAGTGGTTAGCGCGTTCCGCTGCGATCGTTGAATTTAAGCAACTTTCGCAGTGGTCGGTCACTGGATGGGTGATCGAAAATTTATTATCTCGAGCTCCTCCGTGCTTCGGTAGGCACGTTAAGCCGTTGGTCCCGGCTGCATCAGCAGTCGTTAGCACCCACCAACCCGCACTGGGCCCGCGTGGTGGGTCATGGCCCAATCTCCCTATTCCATCCATAGGGAAGGCCTGTGCCCCAGCAGTGGGGACATTAATAGGCTGATGATGATGATGATGATGTAACTGTCGATGTTAAAAATCTAAAGAAAATATTACTAGAAAAAAAACGACGGGTTGCATTCCGGGAATGCAGGCAGAAGTGAAAACTTGAATATTAATGTGTGCATTTTTGATATTTTGGAATGGTTAGGGAATAATTTTGCACGAATTGCTTTAATTATCAGTATAAAAGTACTATCATTTATGTGGTATAATACAATATTTATTTATTGCGCTATCGTACACAAACGTGACAATTTATATTACAACGCCGCTAAAGAAGTTTTCACTATGATTCAATCCGTGAATATTTAAAAAGGGTCGGAAACTACCCTCGACGAAACAGCATCAAAACCCAATTATTGTAAATTATTAGATTACCTATTTGTTATTACAATTAATTTTTTTATTGATGAAACTTTAAATTAAGTAAAAAATAATAAACACATCAAAAATAAGATACACATTACAGAGCTCTAAATTTCTACTGATATAGTAAAATTTCATTTTACATGAATCACATTTAAGCGCACCTAGCGACATCTATTGTAAAAAAATGCATTTCTTCGCAATAAAGCTGCCACCTGGACGTCCTAGTTAGAGACTTATTATTATAATACGATAAATAAAATATTACTATGTTTCATCCAATATATTGAAAGTCAAGAAAGAACCTTTCCAATTTTATTGTTTTCATCTTACGCCACGTGTCCTGACGCGAGTTTTTTTACCCATTACAAAAAAGTATACAACGCCGCTACAGAAGTTTTCACTTCAAAAATTAAAATTATATCTATAAAAAATTGCTAATTCTTCCTTTAAAAGTTTAATACTTGTAAAGTTATTTATTTGACATTGTGGGTCACCAACAATGCGAGAAGATGGTGCTGCCTTGCAGCTTAAGAAAGGCTAGAAAGAATTCGACACGGCTATCAGAGCCGCTGCAGCATAATGGTCAGTGCGTTCGCCCGGATAGCGAAGGGTGCTGGTTAGAGTCCCGTCTGCTGCCTGGACCGCGTGAAATTTTTTTTAGTAAAAATTTCTTTAGATTTAAATACATTTTAGGTTATGTTGGATAAGTACTGTAACTAAATTATAGCTGAAGTCAAGCGAGTCAGAGCGAAAGTGCATTGTTTTTAAGATCTGGCCAATTATAACGATCACACGACGACATACAATTTAAAATATTTTACTACAAGATATAAAGGAGGGAAAGTATGACAAGCACTCCAATTCAAGTGGCAAATTCACTACCTCCGCTCACCTCACCTCTTTCAAGACGATTTCAATTTTATTTTAATACAGATTTTATTAAAGTTACATTTTTAGCTGTTTCCCAGCGGATGTTTAATCAAAAACTAAATATGCTTTTAAAGAAAATATTACTAGGAAAATGCCTGGTCCGCATCAAAAATTTTCTAGTAATATTTTCTATAGATTTAAACAGCGAGCTTAAAAAATAAAAATAAAATAACTTGTTTGCTATTTCTTCTTTCAAGTGCTTAATACTTGTAAAGGTATTCATTTGACATTGTGGGTTATCTACGATGCGGAGAGATGGCGCTGCCTTGCAGCCTAAGAAAGGTTAGAGAAAATGCGACACGGCCATCAGGGCCGCGGTAGCATAATGGTCAGTACGTTCGCCCGGATAGCTAAGGGTGCGTGTGGATTCGAGTTTATTTCCGCATCCTGGTTCGCATGCAATTTTTTCTAGTTATATTTTCTTTAGATTTAAACATCGAGCAGGTACATTTAAAAAAAAAATTATAAATATGCTTTTGTTTTTAATCCCCAGCGGCTATGGAAAGCCTATACCACACTTCTGCAACACAACCTCCCCGCATTAGCCGGCGTTCTCGCTCCAGAACTGTACCTGCTGGAATGGTTGTACACAGCCTTCGCTAAAGCTATGCCTCTGGACGCGGCCTGTAGAGTTTGGGATGTGTTCCTGCGGGACGGAGACACGTTCCTGTTTAATACTGCCTTAGGTGAGAAAATTCTAATCATAAAAATATGTATAACTAGCGGCCCGCCCTCGCTTCGCTTCGGTGTAGACTACAGTTTTTGTTTTCAGGCTTGTATTATACACAATGACATTCATCTATGATTCTTCTTATACCTGCATGCAAAGTCTCAGCCCGATCGGTTTAAAATTACAAAGTTTCATCCAAAGTTTCATTCCCTTTTTTATCCCCTTGGGGGTAGAATAGATCAAAATCCTTTCTTACCGGATGCCTACTTCATAACATCTACCTGCATGCCAAATTTCAGCCCGATCCGTCCAGTGGTTTGGGCTGTGCGTTGATAGATTTGACTTTAGAATAGACCTTTGAGTTTTATATATAGATATATTTGTTTCTTAGGTTTTCACGCACATCACTCATTAAAATAAAACTAGTTTTAACGGGTAAATGCACGAACTTTATTTATTTATTGACGTTTCGCAGCCTTTTCAGATCTACATCGTAAGAATAATGATTTTTTATTTACTTGGTCGAGCTACCTTCGAAAGACTTTTTTTTTATTGAGCGTTCGGATACTTCATTTTAAGATTTTTGAAAGTTTATTGTGTTTGTTTGAATTTATTAGTTAATTTAGTTAATAAAGTACTTTATTTAAAATTCTTTTTTGTAATTTCGAGTTTATTCATTTGACCCTAACTACCGAAAACTACCACCGGTTCCAAAATTGGGAGACCTTTATGAGAAGAACTGGCGAAACAAACTCAGAGAGGCTTTCTATCTCCTACTTATGTTAAATCATGCAAACACAAAGAACTAATAGTATCTGTTGGTCTTGCAGTGTGTTCTCGGGTTTGGGATATGTTATTTATGATAAGAAGAAGGTAGCTCGACAAAGTAAATAAAAAATCATTATTCTGACGATGCAGACCTGAAAAAGCTGCGAAACTTCAAAAAATAAATAAAGTTCGTGCATTAACCCGTTAAAACTAGTTTTATTTTAATGAGTGATGTGCGTGAAAACCTACGCAACAAATATATCTATATATATAAAACTCAAAGGTGACTGACTGACTGACTGACATAGTGATCTATCAACGCACAGCCCAAACCACTGGACGGATCGGGCTGAAATTTGGCATGCAGGTAGATGTTATGACGTAGGCATCCGCTTAGAAAGGATTTTGATCAATTCTACCCCCGAGGGGATAAAATAGGGAATAAAAGTTTGTATGAAACTTTGTCAATTTGAAACCGATCGGGCTGAGACTTTGCATGCAGGTATAAGAAGAATCATAGATATTTGTTTCTTAGGTTTTCACGCACATCACTCATTAAATAAAACTAGTTTTACGGGTTAATGCACGAAACTTTATTTATTTATTGACGTTTCGTTTCGCAGCCTTTTCAGGTCTGCATCGTCAGAATAATGATTTTTTATATAAAATTGTCGAGCTACCTTCGAAAGACTTATATTGAGCGTTCGGTTATTTCATTGGAAGATTTTTAAAATTTTATTGTCTATGTATTCATACATTTATTATTAAATTTACTTAATAAAGTATTTTATTTAAAATTCTTGTTTGTAATTTTGAATTTATTTATTTGACCCTAACTACCGTAAACTACCACCGGTTCCAAAATTGGGAGACCTTCCTGAGAAGAACCGGCGAAACAAACTCAAGAGAGGCTTTCTATCTCCTTCTTATGTTAAATTATGCAAACAAAAAGAACTAATAGTATCTGATGGTCTTGCAGTGTGTGCTCGGGGTTGGGATTTTATCTCCTGTATAATAGGTTCCCAAGCTGGTGGTATATACCAACCATCTTCCCTATTGAAATTTGGATATTTTTTAATCTCAATAGCCTCGCGCATCATTCGAGGAACGAACCGCCGCTCAGCTGCAAGGATCTGTGGTCTATCAAATCTAATGTAGTGGTTTGGTCCCCCTAATGCATGTTCACACACATGTTCAATCATAGATGAATGTTATTGTGTATAATACAAGCCTGAGAACAAAAACTATAGTCTACACTTCAGCTCTACACATAATCGAAGCGAGGGCGGGCCGCTAGTTTAACATATAATGTCTTTTACAGAAGTAAATAGGAACGTACTAGAAATCTTATTAAAATAGTGTTAACCTGCAAACCGTATAGCCGAGGAGGGTTACTGGACTAAATACTGTTGAAGCAGAAAACAATTGGCTCTTTTTTGCTGTGCACTATTTGTATTTATACTGTATGCCTGCATTTTGATTGCTATGTCATAACATAGCAATCAAAATGCAGGTAAACAATTAATGTAAAGTATGTATGTATGTGATACTATGTATGTGAGGAACTCGATGGCGCATGTGGTTAGCGCGTTCGTATGCGATCGTTGAAGTTCGTTTTTCTCAAATATCACGGTTGTCATGAATGTTATTTACTCTTTCCCATTTTTTACCAAGACAAGGACAATACAGCTCACCTGTTTGTAGAGGGAGATAAGAAACGCAGTCGCCAAGCCGAGCGACGCGGACTCGACGTTTCGCTCGCGCTGCGTTGAAGCGTACAGTTCTGTCTCGCTCGCTCGATTAAACGATTATTTACAGAAGTGTGCGTGCGTAAGAATAGGGATGATGACTATTTTTTTTCTTCGTTTATCAGGTAGATTATCAAAAAGTATTGGACACGTATTTTATCTTTTTTCACATAATATAAACTTTGCAGAGATATATTGATTTGAAAATTCGCATGACGTCACGTTTTGGTACAATTTTCACTTAAAAGTGACGTCACGAGTCCCAAACTTTGGTGCGCTATAACTTTGTCATTTTTTGGTTGATAAAAAAAATAACAATATGACCCAAAGAAAAAATACGTGTCCATTATTTTTTGATCATCTTACTGACGGACTAAACAGAATTACGTTTACTGTACCCCGTCATCACCCCTGTTGCTTATGTAGTCGAGTCGGAGTATATTTTATTTGATACTAGTATGAGCGTACCGTATCTTCCATTTTTGTTTTAATCTAAGGTTTATACTTATAAATAGGACTGATTTTCATTTATCCATCTCGTTGTTTTCCCTGACAACAAGAACCGTTTACTTGTCAATTTAAAAATATTCTCCTACCCTCAGGTGTCCTCCATCTTTACCAAGACGAGCTCAAAGACATGGACTTCATAGCGGCCGCGCAATTCCTCACTAAACTACCAGAAGACCTGGACCCTGAAGCTTTGTTCAAAAGCATCTCCTCAGTCTCCATGACGCTGGACGGCATGACCTTCGAGGAACTTGCCTCCTGCTGCGAGGTGGACAGTTTGGATGATGATGTGGTAAGGTTATGATATAGGAAGAGATCTGACTTCGGATTGTGGGATTTGATAGACGCTCTCTCCTTCAAAGTTGGGTTATAACGGTAATAAAGTGCTAGGGTACAGTCGGAGAAGTTGAACGTGTGCCAGTTTAAGACAAAAAAACCACTGTAGCTTTTTTTATCATAAAGTTATAAATTAAAATAATTATTCATTGTTGTGGTATATTTTAGTTAGATAGTGAGTGAATTTAAATTAGGGCGATATGATAACGCTGGTGTCGGCATGAATGACGGCAGACAGTATCCTCATTAATTAATAATGTCTCAGAGTGTGTGATCAGAGGCACACGATTTGTAAAATCAAAACTTAATAAACAGATAAACCGCAATCAATAATTGCCTAAAACTGGCATATAAAATAATTTCTTCGATTGTACTTGAGAAAGAGAAAGAGAGAGTGGGGGGAGTAGCCTCTCTTTTTTATCTTCAGCCAATTTTCTCCTTGCATGCTGAGTATTCTATTTGCTACTCTATTCCAGAGACTACAGAATTTAGTTTCTGAATTAAGAAACATCTTCGAGAAAAAAAAACGCTAATCTTTACATAACGCTACATTAGGTATTATGTAGATAGCTGTTGAAATGTAAATAGATACATTAAATATTATATATGTATTACGACGATCGAAACTCGACCTTAAAGTAATTCATTAGAATTGAATTTACTATTGTACTATAAAAATGGGTTTATTGAATTTTATGAATGGATGTAAATATTGTCTGAATTAATGGTAATGATTTTGTATATGCAACTAAGGTTGTTAAATTTTGAAATAAATTAAGTCAAGTCTTAGTTAGGATTAAAACATATCATGATACTTTATGATATAATTACGTCATTTTTTAATGAGATAGAGTACCGGCGTTTTGAGAATATGAAATGTTTTGTAAATTAATAATAATAAAATGTCACGAATTATTGCCGAGTCGTGTTGTATGTCTGTCTCAATAAGGTACAACCAACAGCACATTTTCTAAGGCAAAAAGTAACAATGTTTGTTTTTATATTTTCTATTATTTTAAAGCATGTAACTGCTTGATGTTTAAATCTTAAGAAAATATAACTAGAAAAAAATCAGCAGATGGGACTCGAAGCCGCACCCTTCGCAATCCGCGCGAATGGACTGACCAATTATGCTACCGTGGCCCTCATGGACCGCGTCGAAATTCTTCTACCCATTCTTAAGCTGCAAGCATTCAAATGTTTGTTTTTTTAAACAATAAACTGCTTGATACTTATATCTAAAGAAAAAATTGTCTAGAAAATAATTCAATTCAGCCAATGCTGGTCTCGAAACTGCGTCTTTCGCAATCCGGGTGGATGCAGTTATCTCTATGCTGCCGAGACCTTAATGGGCGGGTCGGATGGCTCAATTGATACCGCCGCGAAAAGGGATGAAAGCATTTCCATGCTTTTATGTGTGTTAATTTTTGTTCGATGTGTCTTAATGTTTCGTCGGTTTGTGCAATTTTAGCTTCTATCGTATTCGCCTGTTGGTCCAACTTTCCGTGATCATAACTATCTGCTGGCGCCACGCCTTCGATTTGCCTGCGACTGCGCGATTCGGATCTGTCTTCTTTATCTCGTCCGGTGAGAATGTCTTTATATGTGAAACGATTAGTGCCGGCAGTAATGTACTGGGGGCCAATCGCCTAACGGAAATGCTTTGGGAAACGCTAACGCTTACGATTTTATATTGTTATTTCTAGCCGCCTGAGGTTTTCGAATACCTCACGCTCATTTTGTTAATATTGTTATTACCAATGCAAAACAAAAAGAAAGAGCGAGAGGCATTTGAATACCTCAGGCGGCTAGAAATAACAAAATAAAATCGTAAGCGTTAGCGTTTTCCAAAGCATTTCCGTTAGGCGATTGGCCCCCTGGTAAAGGCATTGAATGCACGCGATTGTAGAACATTTATGCTCTTATGACTTATTATAGCTTTTCCAAGCCTGCTATTATGTCCCCAGTTTTTGGCGTTTGAGATATAAATGAGGTGATAATTCAACCTCTTTGTCCCTGTATGGTCGCAGATGACTTTCCAAGGAGATGTCCTATGTTTTGGGGCGTTACATATTCTTGTGTCCATTGAGCAATCCAATGTGCTGCTTTTTGACTCGTCTGGGGTGTTGTTTCTGGATTTTCTTCCTTCTCTTGCTCTTGGACTTGTGGTGTTGGTGTATGTGTTGTGGTCGTCGTCGATGGCTTGTATGATTTCTTCTGCGCCGATGTCGTCGTTATACTCGTCGTCGTTGTTAATGGTCGTTTCAGGCATAACGATTGCCTCTGTATTGAATTCGGCGGTGGCAACAAGCATTCTCGAGAATAGGATGTTTGAAAAGTTTTAAAAAGCGATTTAACGCTATTCCCTGATCTTTGTAAAGTCCATAGAAAGTGGATAATCATCGCAGTGTTAAAAACTCTAAATTCTTCTTCTTCCTTGCCTTATCCCTTCCTCGTCTTTAGGCGCCAGGATAGTCTATCCTGGGTTGTCTTTGTGTCCAGCTGAGCTCGTTCCAGGTCTTTGGATACGGTTGTCCACCACGTAGCTAAGGGGCGCCCTCTGCCTTTTCTCCTTTCTGGGATCGCTAGGGCCTTCTTTACTGGGTACTCCTCGTCCCTTCTCATTACATGACCGAACCAGCGCATACGTCTTTCCGACAACTTATCTCCTATGGGAGCAACTTTAAAGGAGCCTCTGATGTATTCATTGCGTACCTTATCGAGCCTCATTACACCAGCCGACCAACGCAACATCTTCATTTCATTTACGTGTTAAAAACTCTAAATCAAAAATTCAAGTCGCCGCGAACACGTTTCTTTGGACATTACGAAGTCACACGACTGTCATTAAAACGTCAAGCGATTCAATATAATGTCACTTGGATCGGAAGTTTGATAGCGTATGACGTCATCATTTTCGGTCACGATATCATAGAACATAAAGCCTATTTCTATTTAATGGTTTTTTAGAAAAGTTACTAATTATTTGTTTTCTCTGGTAATAATAAAATTGCGGCTTTTATTCATATTAAATACAGATGCCAACATTGTTAATTTATTTTTCGTTCTGTCAAATAGCCTAGTCCATCGTATTTATTTTGTATGTTATGTAATTGATATAAAGTTTATAATTCTTTGCACAATTTTGTTATGAAAATTCGTTTTCTCACCATTCCGCAGTGGTATAAATTGAGCCAAAGGATGTGCAAGGCAACGCCTTCACACATTTTAGGTAAACTTGAATGTGCAGTTGAATGTACAAACCTAGAACTATATTCATGAATCATATTAATCAATATGGTTTATTTTATAGTTACTCACGGGATTGTTACCATGTTCCTTGTTTTTTATAATTGCCTCATGGATTTTGCAACAGTGCCGTAGTAACGGAGATTCATAAAAACAAGGTACATGGTTACAATCCCGTTAGTAACTATAATTTTAAAACAACATATTGTTTATTTTGTGCTGTAAGTTTAATTTTGGTACAGTACATTAGAAAAAAAAACAGTATAAAATATAAACAAATTATGCCGAATGCAATTAGATATGTATAAAGAAGTTGAAAGTAAAAAACGCATTATATCTTGTGCAATAAGGTCGAATATTCTTATTTAGAAGCGAGAAAATTATACTGTACTTAAAATTAAATTTAGAGAGTACAACGGTGCCAATTTTGGCATGATTTTCTTTGAAATCAAAATTTAACATCAGTCTCTCCTTTTCATTCTGTATGGAGAATGACAAGGATACACTATTGACAAATTTAATTTTAGGATTAGGAAATGATGCCAGAATCGACACCGATGCGTATGAATGTTGATAAATCACGTTTATTATAATTTGATATACCCATAAGTAAAATCAATATAACTCGGATCTGATTTAACTGTATGTTTAGATCCAGTAAGTTGTATATAGTTACCTATAATCTCTGTATATAATTAAATATAATATTGTCAATTATGATATGTAATGTACATTGCATTAACTGAATCAACGAGTAGTATGACCGGCCTAATAATTAAATGAAACGAAGTTTAACACTTTTTATGTGTAATTTAAATATAACTAGTGTATATTTTAATGTACGTTTCTAGTTGTAACCATTGTTTTTAATTTGCAGAATATAATCATATATTATTATACGATAACAGAAATATTTATTAAAAATAAAAATATATAATAATAAAAATAATAAATGCTAAATCGTGTATAAAAAATGTTTACAATTTGGTTTTTGTTTTGCCAAATTGTTATAATTATTTTCGAATTTCATATAAATTTATTAGCTTGCAATTTGATAAAATTAATATCCAATTGAATTGTATTTATGACTCACTGTAGTAAGTTGATGTTGTCTCATTCTTTGCTATGGCAATAGAATAAGACAACACATCACTCTGAAAAGCAATATAATTGCCGTCTCTGAGTGCGGCTGGAATTAAAACCTACCTGGATTTTAAGACCACATAATGTTTATTTTGATATCGTAGACACGTGGTTAGCGATATCATGAAATTGGTAGCTACATTTTTTTCTGAATTAATAAATTAATAGCGTTTCTTGTTAAGTAAATAGCGTTGGCATATAAAGGCAATCAAAAATATTAATTATAAACTTCTGAATAGCTTTAAATTATTTTGTATCTTGCCACGCCGCAATAAAGTGTGATTTCAAAATGTGTAAATATTGATTGTTTATTCTAGAGTAATTTTATATGTATGTCTCAGTGTGTTTATATATTTCAAAAACACTTTTTATTTTGCACTGTTTTATAAATATATATTATTCACAATTTATTAATCAAATAAAAATTAATAATTTGAATAAAAATTCTAATAAAAATATTATTATTAAATGGAATAATTGGTATATATATAAATTAGTGTTGTTGAAATTAAGATAGTAATTATTTATAATTTTTTATTGCGATCAGTTTGATTATTTTTACAGAATTATATAAAAGTTTAAAAATACAAATGGTTAAATATTATCGAGTGGGATATTACAACATAGATTTGTAATTCAGATAGAAATGTTGAATTTATTCACACCAAAAATATCACTTGGTAATAACTAGAGATCGGATAATCTGATGCGTATTTATCTAAAGTTGAGATGTTGGCTATTATGGGAAGCACTTTTTTATCAAAAAATCTCACGATTACAGAAAATATAAATTTAAGTGTTTACTCCGTGCGATCTAATAAACCCAGTTTGACACAAATAACAGTTGCCCAACATAAAAAAAAATATTATGTAAGATGTCCATTATGAATAAATAAATTTATATTCACTTATGTTTTCTTTTTCTTAGACATATACTGGAATGGGAAATTAAAATTTAAGTTCAAGTAAATAATATACATTCAGTTAGAGTTATGCGATCACTAGTCCCGGAATTTCATTTTTAATACATTATTATTAAAAATAAATCATCATTAAAAATAAAACTCCGGAAGGATATTAATCCTAAGAAGCCACTTCCATAATTTGTTAACCAAAAAATAACGAGGTAAATATACATCCGATTATCCGATCTCTAGTAATAACCCACCATTACTAAAAGCTTTATTAATAATTATACCTAATCGTTAACATTTAAGATTAAAACAAGTTCGGCTGGATGTTTCATATTAACATGTTTTAAATATTGCGGAAATCATTATGTTATATATATATACAAGAAAATATATTGCTCAAAAATTAATATTGTTTGAACTTTTTCTGATTTGTAGATTTTTATTTTTTTATTATTATATTGGAATTAATCGCGGGTCATCCAGCCATTTAATATAAAATATTACCTACTCTAAATGTTACATATGTGATGTGGACTGATATTACTAATTATAAAAGAAATGCCATCTCAAAATAATATTAGATAAGATTCTCATTGTAAATAAATGTATCGTAAATTATAAAATTCGGCCCCAAATGAGGATATTTGTAATTTTAATTGTAAAATAAAATGTGGGAAAATTACTAATTTAGTTTTTTTTATGTCAACACTTAAGAGGCTTAGGCGATTTTTTACAGCTCCGTAATCGTATCGTCATCGTCACATTTTGTATGGAAGGAGCCAGTTTGTTCTTACGTCCGGTAGGGGCGCTGTTTAGATTTCATAGAAACTTTTACGATGCGATGCGAGTTCGTGCTATGGCCTCTGTTTATTTAGATATATTATTAAATGTTTATTTAGATAAGCAATCTTATTTAGATTAAGCATCATATAAATATACTTATATATGTACAATAAATGTATTCTATCCGTTACCATAGTATCCCATAACACAAGCCTTTACAGTGCTTACTTTGGGGCTAGGCTAATTGGTGTGAGTGTTGGAAATATTTATTTATTTATAGTTAAAGGCAAGTACTCGCCGGAAATTGTATTCGAGATTCAAATATTTCTGACCTCAGCACTAGAGTTGTAAATCAACCCCGTAAACTACTAATTCGTGAGGTAGACTACCGTTAACGAGACGATTTGTACCTAGCTCTAGGCACGGTTTTTAACCGTGTCTGCGTTCGGTCGTCATTTAAGTCGGTATGGAACACTGGAGGTTTGTTAAGAGAGGAGGCGTGCAATGTTTTTTCCGTGCAAACGCTCTCATGACTCCTTGCTTTTTATCACTAGGGAAATGATTTTCATACCTAAAAAACTATGAATTAGCGACTGTCGTGCGGAGCCCACTCCTCCCCTGGTTCTGAAATTACGTAAATCGGATTTGATATCAAACTCTGATTCAGAACCCCGTATTTCATGTCCGTACGGTTCGGATGGTTTCAAATAATTTATCATTGGCTTTTTGGTAAAGGAAAACATGGTGAGAAAACTTTCATGTCCGAGGAGTGGGGCCATTTATAGGCTAAAGCGCCATTTACGCGATGCAAGTTTCTTGCCTGTTGGACACTGTTAAATTGAAGCAATTAATGTCATGCGTGGTCTAAACAGCACATTAAATTCTAGACGTGGTATACATGTTTTGCTTCAAAACTAATTTAAAAATAAACCAAGTAATGGGTTAACTTGATTATATTTCTAAAAGTTACTAAGCATTTTTGGTAAACCTTGATTCGTTATTCGGTAATTTGTACATTCTTATTTTGTTTATAGGTAGAAAAAAATATTTGGAAAATAATTGCTATGATTGCACCATTTGCAATACCTACTACGCTGGTAGCAGCCCGACTGATAGGAGGAAGTACTCTTTATTCGAGCTTTACACTACCAATAAAAAAGTGTAGACCAGAAAGTCTGCGACCTTAACTGGTGAACGCTTTAAAAGAGAACTACAAAGATGTTTATCTATACATTGGGTGAAAAATAAAAATAAATGAGATTGCTATGGTGCTGTACTTAACGCTATGGAAATTTTATTCTGCGCCTTTAGTTTAATTAAATATTATAAACTTTGCTTCGGTAATTGTATAATTATTTAATTTAGCGATCTAAGGTAGTTGCCACCAGTGTTTAAAACAACAAACGGGAATTATTGCTTTCGTCAACCTACGACATTAACGTCATTGATTGGTATTGTTTAAAGGATGATTAACAACATTTGAAGTTAACCTTTGGCATCTTCATATTTGGTTTCTGTGAAGTATGTAGGTAAAACAAATTATAAGACTAGGATATGACACTGCATTTGTGTATATAGACGTTGACAATGCAGCCACTGCCAATTTTAGATAGTCGACGAATAAAAGTAAATGAGTTTTGTATTTACTACAAGACTGTGGTATATACAGGTATATACAAACAAGAAAAAGTTGAAATAAAAAAGTAAACTTAAAAAATCAAAAAACCCGACTGTTTTATATTACTGGAAATAAAAACTGAAAATAAAAATACAAGTCCAGTAGTTTATAATTCTGTTTAGTAAGGAAATAAGCTACTTTAACAGGCGGGACCCATTAGATATTCAAGAATGGACCAAATTTTTCAATAATGGGTCCCGACTGTTAAAGTAGCCTTTTCCCTTACTTAACAGAATTATAGACCACTGGACGTGTGTTTTTTTATTTTCAGTTTTTATTTGCAGTAATATAAAGCGGTCGGGTTTTTTGATTTTTTAAATTTACTTTTTTCCTATCCTTATGATCTGCGACCCTGTTTTTTTTATTGAAACGAAGATCCTTTTCGGTCTGCACTGGGCTTTTCCGCATTGGGCCCATTTCGCACTGAGCCTAGTGCGGATTGGTGAGTAGGATACCTTTTTAATGGAATATTGAGATTGAACCATGAGTTGCCACGTGGGCAGTGTGGATTGGTAGGTGGTATATAAATATTTTTATCACATCTATTCGAAGAGTTAAAAAATATAATCGCACGAAATATATTTCGCCTTCGTTCATCTTTTTATTAGGTATTTACTCAAATTAACACTGCCGGATTTAGGGGAGGGCAACCGGGGCGAAAGCCCCGGGGCCTCCACAAACGGGGGGCCCCCACAATAGAGACTTCGGAAAAAAAAACTTTCAAATTCCAACTAGTAAACACTAGTAAACATCTTTTCCTTTGATATATTTTTTTGCTCTTTTACCTTTACCCAGGGCCGAATTTAAGGCAGGGCATGTGTGGCTGTGGCCCAGGGGCCTCCACAACAGCTTAAGAAATAACAACATTTCGATGGGTCAATATGCATACAAATCCTAAGTGGCCCGGGGCCTCCACAATCCTAAATCCGGCCCTGCAAATTAAGATTTATAAAAAAATAATGTCGGCTTCGTGTACTGACTAGCTAAAAATTTGATACAGTCTTTTATCTACCAAATCGTACACTAGATTGAAAAAACGCTCTCGCCTTTTAAATTATTTTCTCCGTTAGTAAATAATCTACTATTAACTTCGTTCAAACCGTGTGTTCCACGACACTCACGCATTTTATTTTGTTTGTTATTTCTTAGTTCCAAATTTATCAATTCTAAATTTCCGAGCAAAATCCTGCAGTGTAGCATAGTGCCGCGTATTCTTTAGGCAACATTTGTTGATAAACTGTTTATGAGGTTCTCATCACCTTTTTATTGTAAACACAATAGGTTTTATATTTAATTTTGAAACTACAGGAACTTTTTCTTCCAAATCTCTAGCTGTTTCCCCACTTTCCAGAGGTTTCACAATGGGTTTAATATTCAGTTTTGTTATTGATGGAATATGTTATGGGCATATTCTCACATACAATACCAGATTTCTTATTAGGCTTTGAATACGTGTCAGTTTTAGTTACAGGTTTAATTGTAATTTTGGGCACATGAGTATCTTTGAACTACGCACTAGAGTTGTAAAAACTGAAAACTGAAACTTTTCCGAAAAACTGACTAATGTAGTTTTTTCTAGGCTGTTGCCCGAGGAGGTAGTGTTGCTTTGTGATACTAAGGACTACAGAAAATAAGGAAAAGGTGGTGGTTTTAAATAGAAGACGTATTTGATGACCTTCGTGGATTTGACGGGTCTTTTGATAACTCACTAGAATGTCAGAAACTGATTTTGAAATATTATTGAGATTGATTAGGCCATCAATAACAAGACAGGAAACGAAATTTCGGAATCCTATTCAGCTCTAGCTAAGATTAGCTATTACTTTAAGATTTCTTGCAACAGGTGACTCATGTGTATTACTGTCATATACTTTTAAAGTATCATAAAAAATAATCAGCAGGATTAAACTAAAGGTATGAGCATCGAAACTTGGTTATTGAACAACACTATGTCCATGATTAAATAAACTATAAACCTCTCGCAACACACGTCTACACCTTTCAACATTTATAAACAGTGTTTATACATTATGTTTGTTTATTAATTAGGCAACATTTCCTAATTAATATGCAGCTTTACGTGCATAACGATTTTTGTAATTTTCACTATCCCATAAACACTCATGATTGCGATTGATCTTTATGTACCAATGTATTGTTTATAAACAAACCCTGTTCTATAACATTCAACAATTGAATGGAAAAGATGCCAAAACAAATACGTGCAATTCTTGAAGTAACTCTCCAAAAATGGTACACGTACATACAAGCCTGTGTTTAGACATATCAAATTTGAAAGCAATAATCTCCTAAATATACTTAATTGTCAGGGCCGGATTTAAAGGTCCAGAGGCCTCGGGGCAACAGAGGAGCGGAGGCCCCCTCACCCCAAATTATTTTCCAAATAAAGTAAACAATTTTTTTTCAGCCGAGTTTTTCAATAATTAATTTATTGTGAACCAAGTAGATTCCCTTAGTATTAATAAACACATATAAATATAAACGGAAACAAGAATTATCTGAAATTAAATCTTAGAGTTAACGAACGGAACCTTTCGAGCTTTTTTCGCCGAAAAATCGTTGATGATTTCGTTGAAATAGAGTTCTCGGAGTAAAGGTAAAAGAGCAAAAAAAAAATATCAAAGGAAAAGATGTTTACTAGTTGGAATTTGAAAGATTTTTTTTTCCGAAGTCTCTTTTGTGGGGGCCCCCCGTTTGTGGAGGCCCCGGGGCTTTCGCCCCGTTCCCCTAAATCCGGCAGTGTTAATTGTATTGGTGTAAACAAAAGACTTGTCCAATTCAGAAGAATTGCAGAGCACATAAAAATGTCTAAACTGGTATTCAATAATTGTATGCAACCTTTTTACTTATGTTTTACGTTTACATGGTGTAAACAGTTGCTTACAAGAAAATTGTATCATATAGGGGAGAGTGGGGTAATTACGGACATCGGGTAAATGCAAACGTTGTATTGGCTGCTCCAGCCAACCCCGCGCCTCGCCACTTTCATAACGTAGTCGTGTTGGTCATCTTTAGTGGCCGGATTGATGTCAACACGGGAGTCCACGATCTTCTCAAGGTAAGATTAATTCTTTATTTTAAAGTGGTTTCTTGTAATTTTTGTTCGTCTATAGTTGAGTGTCAATGTAATGATATTTATTTAACTTAAAAACTGTATAAGATAGGTATGTATTAATACTGTTAATCTCCTCTGAAAATGT